GTAGCGAACGTCCTTGCAGCAGACCGTTTTCAAGCAAACTCCAACAACCGCTTTGAAGCTCTCCGGTCTAGAGCGCAAAGCTTACTGCGATGCATCCATGGGCTCTGAGTGAGCCAGGGAACGGGCAGCCGCACCAAGCGACGCGGTCGACAGCGCCAGTGTCCGCTGGAAGGTCGTCCACGCAGCCGCCAGCGCAGTCACGTCTTGGCCACTCGCCAGCAATGCGTCCACGTTGGATGCCACGGCGCCAGTCAGATCGGCTGTCTCGGAGAGCGACTGCATGGGCCAGAAGGACGCGAGAGTGAGTGTTACCGGGTTTCCCGCCAAAAATTCGTTCCTGGTTTCTCTTATTCTCAGCCAACAACCCAAAGTGCGATCAACAACAAGGCAAAATCAAAACAATTGCGTCTATGGAAATCAAAATCCAATTCACCTGCGCAATCTCGCCTATTAGGTGGCGTTTGGTTTGCTCGAAATGGGTTGACATTTTCGGAATTCAAGACTGAGCGGATTTGAACAATCCTGCCATATCAAAGGGCGAAGAAAACTTGGAGACTATGCAGGAGAGCAAAGTGTTGTTCATTATCAAACAGACGGTACACCATTTTTCATCAAAAGAACAGCACGCGCGAGCGCAAGTAACGATTGTTCAATCACGTTCTGATTTTCGCTCTCTGGTTTTTGAAAACGGCGGCTTTGCAGCATTTTGCGATTTTACTTGGGGCCGAGAGCGTCGACGTTGAGGAGGTTACGCACCTGCGCTTCCACAGCAGTCAGCTTGGGCTTGTTGCCGATAATCTCGTCAATGCGCTTGATAAGCTCGGGCGTGATCTTGGGGACAACCTCGAGCGCCTTGAAGTTCTCCTCCAGCTGCTTCAGCGAGGTGGCGCCAAGAATGACGGTGCTGACGTGCGGGTTCTTTGCGCACCAAGCAATCGACAGCTGGGCGAGCGAGCAGCCGAGCTCCTCTGCAATCGGCAGCAACTTGTCGGCAGCCTCGAACTGCCACTTGTTTTCGGCGGCAAGCTTGCGATCCTTCAGCCACGCGAGCGATTCCAGGCTCAGGCGAGAGCCCTCGGGGAACTTGCCTTGGCTGTACTTGCCCGTGAGAATGCCTGCTCGCAGAGAGCGAGAGAGCGCGAGAGAGAGACAGATTATTTACGCACATTTTTTGTGAGCAGAGTGTTGCAGCGAAAAAAATGGCTGTTCAAACAGAACCAGCGAATCATAGAGTAACTGTCTCTAAATCCGGACGCATTACAGACCTCGAGAGTTGCATTTTAATCCGGATGAGGCGTTTTTCTCGCAGTCTATTCATCGCTTCGCCTCGGCTCTTTCACCATTGTACATAAATCGAGTTGGTTATCACATGGAGTGTCTTGTTGAGGTGGCTGCGATCGTCGCGGGGTGGTTTGGGCGACTCGCCGAGGCGGCTGGAAAAAACCGACGACCGATCGCCATCGCCATCGCCCTCAAGCTGCTAACCCCGGGTCCGCTGACCCTCTCGACTGGTTGTACGACAACACCATTTCAATGGACATGTGAACAGGTCGCCGCGCGGCTGGGGCAGGCTGGCTTCAAGTGCGGAAAGTCGACTGTCAGTGACTGGGCTCAACTCCACGCGGGCCACCGCGAACTGATTCAGTCTGGAACGCTGGATGAAGTGATCGAGCTGGCGCGGTCCACCCGCACGAAAGGCCGACCACCCATCTTTACCGATCACGAAGTTGATGCAATTATCAATTTATTGGAAGCGTTTGCTCGCGCGTCATGCTGTCTGACGAAAGCGCAGGCCGCCAAGTACTTGAAACCGTGTTCTGAAACAACTTCTTTCGACGGCTCACCAAGGCGGGCGTTTGTCCAAGACACGCCTAGCCGGTCCTGGTGGGCCACCTTTTTGAAGCGAGCGAAGGGACGCGTCAGGCTTCGAAAGGGCCGTGTGCTGGAAGTGTGCCGGGCTGCAGCGCTGACACCCGACAATCTCGGGACTCTCCCGACTCAACTCAAACAGGCCTACGATCAACATCCTCTCCTTACCGTCGAGCCGAGCCGCGTCAGCAACTTTGACGAGAGCGAGATTTCTTCTCGCGTCAAGGGATCGACTGTATTAGGGGCATCGTGGGGTCGTGTCGCGCTCGTTGGCGGTGGGCACAACAACAGCCTCGGACGGCACATCACCGGCGTCTTCTTGGTGTGTGCCGATGGAACTGCGCCGCTCCCTCCCATGCTGATTTTTACGAAGGGTACGAACGTCGCGACGGTTTGCCAACACGTTCCCATTGACGCCTGCTCTACCGCAACGACCGAGAAGGGGTACATGACCTCAGACTTGTTCAAAACTTATCTGCGCGAGTGGCGAAGCTGCATGCGAGAAAGACACCCGTCAGGCCCGCTGCTTTTGATCATGGATGGCTCATCCACGCACAGCCTCGAGCACGATTTGGTGGCCGAGTTTTTCTACGATCAAATTCAGATTCTTGTCTTGCCCGCGCACACGAGCACTGAGACTCAGCCACTCGATCGCACTGTGTTTGGCTACTTCAAGCGTCAGTTACAAGCAGAGTATGCGAGCGCGATTGCAGCTGGCGTCTTTGCCTCGGACGACCAAATGCGAGTGCATTGCGCTCTGAATGCGTGGTACAAGATTTCGCAAAATACAGCCGTCATCACTGCTGGATTTAAAAAGACTGGAATCTGGCCTTTGGACAAGAATGCATACTGCGAGTGGGTGGTGAGCCCGGACCATGCGAGCAGAACTGAATCACTCATAGGAAAAGAGGCCTTGGCTGCGCCCGTCCAGCCAGTTTCTGCAACGCCCACAGACACGGCGAGCGTCCCCAATCTCCTGTCGACTCCAACGCTGCCCGTCGTCGAGAGTGCCGAGATATCCCACCCCACACCGCCTTTGCCCTCGGTGGAGAGCGGGTATGCCAGCGTCCCAGACCCTGCTCCCTCGC